CACCATCAGGCAAGTCAACAGACCAGCTCCTCCTCCATCTGACCAATGAATGACTGCAGCCAGCACTGGGCCAGCATGCCCTCAACTGCTCTACACAAACAATGGACAGAAAATAGTATGATCTTCCTCTGTCATCCCCACCAGAAGACAGAAGGTAGAACATTAAGAATTACCAAACCAACAACAGGTACAGCAACTTACATGCCTCAGCTACATCAACACAAATATTACAGAGACACCACCACCTCCCAGTATCTTAGGAAACAGAAAAGCTTAAATGAGGGAAATAAACAAAAATTCAAATAAGATGGAACAAAAGATCAAGAAAATCCTTCTAAAGAAGAAATGTTATTGGAACTTCCTGAGAAGGAATTCAACAGAATAAAATATAATGCTGTCACTGGATTGAGAAGAAAATAAAAGAAAACATAAAAAAAATTAAAAAGCAATGCACAACAAAGTAGACAAAAGAAAATGGAATATTAGCGAGAATATGAAAACAGCAAATTTGAATTAAGACTAAATTTTTTAAAATACCAATACATTACAAAGAAAAGATGAAAATTGAAAAAATGGAACATATTCTTAATGAAATAGAGGGGAGATTCTTAAATATTAATCTGTTGGAGGAACAATCAGAACAAAGAAGGGAGGAAAATTAATATTACCAAAAGCAATCTATACATATAATGAAAACTTAATCCCAATTCTGTCACCTTTCATCAAAGAAATGGGAAAAGTAACCAACTTTCTATAGAAAGAAAAAAACACACACACACACAAAAACAAACAACCCTGGTTAGCTAAAGAGCTACTGAAGAAGAAAAATGAGGTAGTAGGCTTTCTACTTCCTAATCTTGGGACCCACTACACAGCCACAGTCATCAGAACAGCTTGGTAAGGGTACAGCATCAGGTTCATTGACCATGGAATAGAATTGAAAACTCCAAAAATAACTCCATCCACCTATGTGTAACTGCAGAAGGTCAGGGATTACAGTCTTCAATATAGATTGAAGCTCAACATCAGGGAAAAGATGTCCACCACTAAGCCAACTGGCAGCACCATAATAGATGGAGAAGAGGTCGAAGTTATTAACAATTTCCATTTTCACAGTTCCACAACATACATTCTTGGTACCAGCAGTCAGGAAATCAAAAGATTCATTTCATTAGGAAAATCTGCTTTTGGGGACCTTTTCAGAGTGCTGAAGAGCAATAATATGAATCTAAACACTAAGATGTGCCTGGTCTAGTCCATGTCTTCACAATTACTTGCTATGCATCAGACAGCTGGACAATGACCAAAGATGACATAAGAAGGATTGATGCCTTTGAGTTGTGGTGCTAAAGAAAAGTATAAACATACTGCCAAGAGAACTAACAGGTCTATCCTGGTGAGGGTAAAACCAAGCTATTCCTTGGAGGCAAGGATTTTGAAGTGCCATCTTACATACTTAAGGCATGTTGCCTGGAAGGATCAGTTCTTGGAGAAGGATAATCATGCTTGGAAAGATGGAGGAAAATAAGACCCTAGAAGAGATGGATTGACACAATAACTAGGGTAATGAGGATAGGTGTATCAGAGACAGTGAGATTGTATAAGGATCATAGTCAGTTCGACAGCACATAAAAACAGCAACAACATGTATATTGATTTTGACAAAAATGAACTTAACTGAAGAAAAGACAACCCCTTTTTATCATGAGCAAATGATACTGGCTAACTAGGCATCTATTTGGACTCGATGAAGTAAGACCCGTACTCCACACCATACAAAAAAAAAACAAACAAACAAACCTTAACAACTGCTGCAAACTTTAGTGAAGATAGGGTTCAGCTTTTATTTCCTTGGAATAATGGTATAGTTGGGTCATATAGGATTTCTATGTTCACATTTTTTTAGGAAATGCCAAAATTCCTTATATAGTGTTTGTTCCAATTTACAGTCCTACCATCCATGCATGAGAGTTCTAATCTCCCCAAATCCTCTCCAACATTTACTGTTTGCTGTTCTATTATGCCAATTAATATGGAGGACAACTACCTAGCAAACTGACTGGAAGATAGCCATATTTATTCCTATCCCAAGAAATGGTTATCAGAGTGTGGAAACTATAGAAAACTATCACTAATATCACACACAAGCAAGATCCTGCTGGAGATTATCCAACAAAAGACTGGAACAGTACATAAGCAGAGAACTGCCAGATATGCAAGCTGAGTTTAGAAGAGGCCATGGCACTAGAGGCATTATAGCCCATGTTAGATGGAGCTTAGCTGAAAGCAAAGAGTACCAGAGGAATGTCTATCTGTGTTTCATTGACTATGCAAAGGCATTTGACTGTGTGGATCATAACAAATTGTGGCTAACCTTGACAAAAATGGTAATCCCAGAACACCTGATTGTGCTCATGAGAAATCTATATTTGGACAAGGAGGTAGACGTTTGAACAAAGAAACACTGCATGGTTCAAAATCAGAACAGGAGTGTGTCAGGGATGTGCCCTGTCTCTATAACTTTTCAATCTGTATGCAGAACAGATAATTCAGGAGGCTGGACTTTATGAAGAGGAATATGACATCAGGATTGGAAGAAGGCTCATCAATAACCTGCATTAAGTAGATGTCACAGTCTTGCTTGCCAAAACTGAGGAGGATCTAAAGCATTTGCTGCAGAAGGTCGATTACAGTCTTCAATATGGATTGAAGTTCAACATAAAAAAGACAAAGATTCTCACCACTGGGCCAATTGGCAACACCAAAATAGATGGAGAAGAGATTGGGGT